AAAAAAAAAATTAGAATCTAGAATTTCCTCATCTTTGTGACAATTCTCAAAAGTCAATTTTAAAAAGACATTGTCACGCCATAAGGTAAACATTGTTTCCGCGTGTCAATTAAATTTTCGTTTAAAAAGCAAGTAAGAAATTATGCTTTGGGGGATATTTAGAGGGTTGCAAAACGGGGTTGAAATCTTTTGAGTCAGTTATGAAAAGAAATTCAGCGTACTTTTTTTTTTTTTTTTTTTTTTTTCAAGTTTTAACATTTTATTTTTTATATTTTTATATATATATATATATATATATATTTTTTTCCCTATTGACTTTAAACTTATTTTCTATGGGTTATCGATGGTTAAATGAGGTTTCAATTTAAATTTTTTTTTTTTTTTTGAAAAAATAATTAAATGTATAAATATTATTAAAAATTATTTATGTTACTCTTTTTTTAAAATAAATTTTCAAAAATAGTCTCGTTAAAATGCCAATATTAGTAGTATTAGATTTGTTTTAAAACAAATATTAATTTTCAATTGTTGTATAAAATTAAGATAATATTAAAAATAAATTAAAAATTAAAAGGAACTAAGAAGAATTTTAGGTTGTGGATTTTTGATGATTGGCCCTTTGGGGCCAGATGAAACAGAAGTTGGCCGGCAGGAAAGTTCGGTAATTAACCGCAACCGCATATTTTAGAAGGTCTCTTGGGCAGAAAACGGCTTTTCCACACCTGACTTATTTTTTTTTTTTTTTTTTTACCTTTGAGTCTCATTATTTAGTTAAATGTTGAAATTTAAAGGTTCGTTCATTTTCGGTTTTCTTAATTTGAGAAAAAAAAAAAAAAAAAAATTTTTTCTCACACAGAATCAATAATCTCGGAATTGCAGGTTTGAGCTTACCGAGTTGGATCCGGTCGTGATTCGTGACTCAAAATTCTGATGCGTGACACACTTTTTGTTTTATAATCTAAATTGACCGAAGTAAATGAATTGTGAAAAAAAAAACTCCATAAATTATTAACTTGGTTCAAATTTATTATTATTATTAATATTGAAACTTTACAAAATCATACCGGGTTAATTATTTATTCATTTTACTACTCTTATTATTTTTATTCATTTTTCCAAAACGTATTATTTATTTATTAACTTAAATAAATAATATTTTATATTATTTTATAATTAAAAAAATATGTGTTTAACATTTACGTAATTTAATTTTTTATAAAATCAGTATAAAATGTTTAATATTAATAATAATAATGATGAACCGACTTTAAACTGGTTGGTAGCATTGTATATAAGAGATACAATTATTTCAATACCCTAAATTGAAGAAAAATGTTCAAGGTGTACAAAAAAAAAACACGAGTAAAATTATCTTTCATTATTTAAATTGATCTTAACAATCCTATTTTTCATCATCATCATCATCATCTTCTTCAATTCTCATCGCCGTCATATTGTTTATTAAACTTTTTTTTTTTTTTTTTTTTTCTTGTAGTGGTATTATCTATCTCTTTACCTTTGATCTGATTAATATTCAAAAAAATTTTATTATCTAGTTTTTTTTTTTTTGTAAACTTAATTTAAGAAAATATCGTTTTATACATAAATAATAATAGTAATAATTTCATTTTACTATTTATTCTTTAACATAAATAATTATGACTGGTGCTCCAGGATAATTTGTGTTAAAAATTATTTATAAAAAAAGGGGAGGAATGGAAAAGAGAAAACTAACAAAACGCCAAAGTTATTTAATTAAAATAACAATAATGAATAAATATAATTAAAATAAAAAAAAAATTAAAAATATTTTTATTTGAGGTCATCATCCGCATGAGAAAAAGAAGGCGCACCGGGCGTCAAGTGGAAAAGGAAATTGTGCGATTGCGTTCGCGTTGTTAAATGAGTAACGAAAAAAAAAAAAAAAAAGAAGGTCACGAGCAATTCCAGATTGAAATTATTTGCTGGCTAATTGAGCGAGGAAGCGAATAACATGGGACCCGCTATGCATTTAATAAATTTTTTTTTTTTAAATTTTATTTCCAAGTTTTTTTTGTACGTCGAGAAAGAGGAAAAGAAAAAAAAAAAAAAAGTACGAGTGATTTTCATAGAAAAATAAAGCATGCGGTAAAAGAAAAAAAAAATTCGAATAAACTTTAGAGCATAAAAAATTAAAAAGGAGGCTTATTTTTGTAGAGTCAGGGATCGACGTGGATTCTCATAGTAATAAACGGTTATCCGCCATCTGTAATGGTTCGCGTTTTCGCTTTGCCGCGCCGTCGTCACTCGCTTCAGTTGTTGGCAAGCCTTCGTACTGTGAGTGTGTGCGTGCGGTGAATTTTATTTTCGTGCTCTCTCTCTCTCTCTCTCACTCACTCACTCATACCGGACTCAATCTTTTACTTTTTTTTTTTTTTTTTTTTTTTTTTTTTTTATAAATCTAAATCGGTGCGGGCCGTTTATTATTATATTTAAACCCTCCGACGCCTTTTATGCCCCTGGGGCTTTTTGCTCCCTTCGTTGAAATACGTTTTGTTTTTTCGTTTTATGTGCGTGTGCGTGTTTGAGTTGCTTATATCTGGATTGTTACGCAGATTAATTTTTTCGATGCAACGGTATTTTTCGTTTCATAAATTAAATATGTTTTTAATAAATTTAAAAACTCTGGATAAAACTCGGTAATATTTTTTTAAAATTCAATTTTCGATTCAAACGTATTTTGTTTGACCGATTTGAGATAAATAACAGCCTTTTATGAGTGACCGTAATTATGCATGCCATCTATATTTTTTTTTCAGCTCTTTCGATGCCTTCAGGTAAAGAAGTTGAGAGAATGAGAGAAAGAGGTGTGGAGAAGAATGAATTTTTATTTTCCCGTCGGCAATATATATTTTTTTTTTACTTGCTCAAATAATTATTTTCCTTTTTTGTAATTAGGCTGCAAGTTAGTTAGCAATTATGAATATCGTCGCGAAACATGACCTCGAGACGTGGACGAATTAACGTGGGGTGGGTTTGTTGAAGTGATACTCGACCTTGAAATTATTTGTTTTAATGGGTGTCCAATTCAAAATGGCGGCAGTTCATAACCTGTGACCGGTTGTTTTGAATTTATTTATTTTGCATTTTCCAGTAGTTATATTTTTTGAATAATATTTTATTTTAAATTCTGTAGTGAAATGACTGAATTTAATTTAATTTTATTATAAAATTATTAGTTTCTTATTTGAGTAAAGGTTTTACCTTTTTTTTTACTTGATGTTTAGGTTATAATAATTTTTCTTCTTTTTTTTTTTGTCTCACCATAATTTAACAAGGTTAAAAAAAAAATTTCATTGGTTTTTTTTGTTTGTTTAATGAGTACAATTTCTGCTGCCATCTTATATTTATTGAAGTGTTGATATTTATTTTTAAAACCTTTCTTACTAATTAGAAATAGACATTTTTAAATAAATCATTTTTGATTGTATTGAAACATACTTTAATATTTCTTTATTTATTAAATTTTAGTAGTTGTTTCTACTTTTTAAATTAAGATAACTACAATCTATAATTATTACTATTAAGTTATTCAATCAATTTAAATTTTTTTGGTTTTCAAAGTAAAATTTTATTTAAAGTTATATAGTCAAAATTATCTAGTTCTTTTTTCATTTTTAAGAAATGTAAACTTTTTGTCGTAATTATTAATTAATGTTTAGATACTCATTTTTTTTACTTTTTTTGTTTTTTCTCATTCAGGAAATATAGGGTAGATAACTATTAAAAAATTTTATTTTTACGATTATGGGAATTAATACACTAATGACCAACAAAATTAAGAATTTGTTCGAAAGTTAAAAAACTTCATCATTCTAATTGTAAAAGAAAAAAATTTAAGTTGCTCGGCATTTTCATATAGCATTTTTATTTTAAGTTATTGTTATAATTTATAATTTTAAAGAAAGTGTGATTTTTTTTTAAATTAGATAATCTTTGGAAAAGTGGATAAGAAATAATTGAATTCAGTTTTAAAATATTTTTTTTTTGTTTTTTATCAATTTTAAATAAATTTTTAACATTACAATTCTAACAACTAAAAGTTGTAAAAAAAATTTTCAATTGTGTTAAATGTGATTTCAAGTGAATAGTTAAAGTGAAAAGCAGTGATATTTAAACTACTTAGTTAAAAATGTACCAGAAACTATTGGATAACTCATAAGGATTATTATAATGGGTATTTTTTAAATAATGTATCCAACTGCTGGGATGAATGCTGCGGCTGTAGCTGCCGCAGCAGCTGCCAGGCATCCTGTAAGTAAAAAATTTAAAAAGTATATTTTTGTTTTATATAGTTAATGTAAATTTAAGTCGAGTTACATAATTTTATTTATGACAGAGGCAGCACATTATATTCATTATATGTCAAAAAATTAGTCTTAAAATATATAACAACTGAGGGAATTAAATAGTTTGCCATGACAAAATTTAAAATTACTTATAGGATTATAGGAGATGAATTAAAAATTATTTTGTGAATTATTGAAGATTTACTTTCCGATTTTACTTGCTTTGTCGTCTGTCTGAGTTGAGTATATGTTAATCCATGATCATTGCATCTATTTTGTGAATAAAAAATTTGAAAATTAACTGTTATTTGTATTTGTTAAAATTGAATGAAAGGAAATTATTTTTTTTAGTTAGACTTCGCCGTTAATAACAAGTTTTCAAAAAATTATTATTAAATGCGGAATAACCAAGTTTAAAATTGTTAGAAGCCATTTTTATTTTTTACAAACACGCTTTATTAGTAACGTAATAAATATTATACAATTATTTTGATACTTCAGATTTCATTCAATCATTTATTAGATGTTTAATAGTTAATAATTTAAAATACAATATTTTATTAATTTATATTTTACATCGTAACTTTTAAAATATTTATCATCATTATTATCATCATTATAATTTTTTATTTTTGTAAGATTTACTAAATCTTGATTGAAGTAGTGAATGTAATGTCAATACGTTAATCAGTAGTAAGTAAGACTTACTTTTTAGTAAAATCATTATTATTAAATTGCCTTTTGATGTTTTTTATATCATATTTATTCTGCTTTTAATTTGAAATGAAATTAAAATAATTATTAAAAATAGCGCATTAATTTTTATATGACACTATGTTTATTGTTTTTGTCATAATATTTACCAAAAAAAAAATGTATTAATTATTTATAATAGTATCAGTTAAAAATTATTTTAAAAAAAACATCTAAATCCTTGAGTAAAAAAAAAAAAATAAAATAGTTATACTTAAATAATTATAATAACAGGTATTGTAAACTCTATTTACCAGGTGAAAAATGGGCAAAAAAAAATTAATAACATGTTTAATTATGGCTTTTTTTTATCTACTATTGTTATTTAAAAACAACATTTTTTTTTTAAATTCTTGTTTAGTTTTTATTGAATAAATTGTTTTTTAAATTACTTGTAAACAATTTTTTTTTTTTTTTATTCTTAAAACTTTCAGGGCCCACCTCAGCCAGGTCAGCCGTTTAAATTCACAATTGGAGAATCCTGTGATAGAATTAAAGAAGAATTTAACTTTTTGCAGGCCCAGTACCACAAGTAAGTTATTATTATTTTTTTCTTTATTAAAAGTAATGAGCACTAAATTAAAAACAATTATTAAAAAAAAAAAAAAACATTAGATTTTAAATGTATAAAATTTAATCAGGAGTATATAAATTTTTAAAAAAATATTTTTGAAATAAAATTTATAGTATTAATTTTATATATTTTATTTGTTATTTTGACGCTTTAGAAATGTTAAAAATAAAAATTCTATAATTTATTAATAAGAGGAGTTTTATTTTTAATGTTTCTAATTGAATTTTTATTATTTTATATATATATATTTTGTTAAATAATACTAATTTTATTTAGGTTTTAATTAAAGATTTATATTTTAATAGTTTCAAATAAATTTTATTTTTTTTCTAAAAAACAAAACAGGTTAAAACAAAATTACCTTATAAAGAGAACATTATTTATAATCACTCACAAGTCAGACACAATAAATTTATTAATTTTACTACTTAATAAATTTAAACAAAAAAAAAAAAAAATCACTTAAAAATTTTATAGTATCTTGTATTTATTAAATTTATAAAATTTAAAAGTTAATTATAAAAATAACAATGTTTTATTCATTTGTTATTATTATTATTTTTATTTTGAAATTAAAAAAAGAAAAAAAGAAATTATAATTACGTGTATACATAAAACCTAATGAATTCAAACTAAATCAATTAAACTTTTATTAAATTAATGAATTAAAATTATTATTTACTTTTTTCTATAGTTTAAAATTGGAGTGTGAAAAATTAGCAAGTGAAAAAATAGAAATTCAAAGGCATTATGTTATGGTAAGTGCAGGAAAGGCAATTTAGTCAAATTAAAAAGTTGGGATAAAAAAAGCAAACATTTGCATTTACATAATTAACACTGGTTGCAATATTTTGTAAATGCTCAAATTTTATATCCGTTTTTTTCCTGGCTAAATATAAATAAATGTCAAAGGCAAAACGCTTTTAGATATATTTTTTTTGTCTATTAAAAATTCTTTTGTGTGAATGCTTACGATGATAACTAATTATTCGTCCAAAATAAATAAATTAAATGACAAGAAATAATAATAATAATGTTAGCTTTTTTTTTTTTTTATTTAATTTTGACAGGATTGCTTTCTTGCACTCTTTCTTTTTTCTAGACTAAGAAATTTTATTAAAATGTT